TATTCTCTGCAAACTAACTTTGCAGAGAATAACTTTGACTTCCTAACTCAAAGATGAGTTAGGAAGTCAAAGGTTTCCTTTTTGGTTCTTCCTGTGGATCAATCCTGCCCATCACCTTCACCTTTCACTATTTTTCAATTCTGTTGGGAAGAGAAACAGTTTGAACAGAGGTTTGAGTCACACACATCTGATTCACTTTTGCATTTATGGAGTTCGCAAACAAATTTCTCGAGTCGTTTTCCGCTGTTAGGATCCAACAACCACACAATTAACGATATCTGAATCACAAAACTAAAATATGACAATATCAGAACCAGAAACAAAAGTGATATGGTTCAAAAGACTTGAAAAGATCGACTTTGACAATAGACGCATCCCACTGGGAAAACAAACATGGAGGTTTGATGCTCACTTTTTTGGAAAATCCTTCCCAGCATGAACTGCACAATGACCGGAAGTCTGAGATTCTTGATGCATCTATAGGACGCCCAACAAAAACTTTGGCGTAGCCAAACCAAATTTGGTACACAGATGCACCATGGGAATAGGAACAAAAAAGTATATTAACAGGAAGTCGGCCATATTGGACTGATCGCGCGACTCGGCGCCAAAGGCGCATTTTCTTGTCCTCATATTTGAACGAACTCGTCCTAAGGCATTTGACCCAGACTCACTAGAATCATTCTGTATCATCTAGATGAGTAAGACATTAAAAGTTGTTTAAAGCTTTTTAAAACAGTGTTGCTGTGGCAACGGTGCAAATTTCGGGTTCGTTTTTGGAGCTCGCCATCAAACTTTGATGCGTGATAATTCGCACAAACTTTGGCCAAGTTCACTCAAACTTTAATTGTTGGTGGACACTCTGACCCTGAACAGATTTATATAAGAAAATCTAAACTGGACACAATAGCGCCCCCTAGGGAGGTTGTATGGAACAATAAAATTTTACTTTGTCGTAGGCATGTAAAATTTGGTACACACATTCGTGGCCTGGTCTTAATGAAAAAAGTCAATGACACCCACACTCCATCTCCCATTGTGTTGCCATGGCAACTGGCTAAAAATCTGTCTTCACCAAGGGGACGTCCCAACAAAAACTTTGATGTACTCAAACCAAATTTAGTACACAGATGCATCATGGGAATAGGAACAATAAAGCATATTGTGACCACGCTGTCTCCCAAACTGGAAGTCCACCATCTTGGATTAAAAAAAAAAAAATCAACACATACAGAAATTGAGAAAAATAGTAAGGTTCGGTTAAGATCAGGGGTTAGGGTTAGGTTAGGGCAGGGGTCGGCAACCCAAAATGTTCAAAGAGCCATATTGGCCCAAAAAAACTAAAACCATACCTGCCTGGAGCCGCACAAAATGAAAAGCCTTATATAAGCCTAATATGAAGGCAACATAGGCTGTCAGTATATTAGCTGTATAAGCCGACTATTAAAATGACTAAGTAGGCTACAAATACAAAATGAGCATTCATGATTACACAAACCCCTTTTGCGACCCTCTCATACTCGGTGCGCCGTCTGTAGCCACTGAAATCAGGTGGTTAGTGTTTATTCCTTTGTCATTTAGGCCCCGTTTACACGTACACGGGTATTTTTTAAAACGGACACATTTCCCTTCGTTTGTACACATCGTTTAAACGCAAACGGCGAATTCGCCTCTGAAAACAAATCTTTCTAAAAACTCTGGCTAGAGTGGAGATTTTGGAAAACTCTGGTTTCATGTTTGCATGTAAACTGAGATAAACGGAGTTTTAGGAGCTGACGCGCTGAAAGTGCGACCGACGTTTACCTGTTGCTTTGACGATGATGATGGAAGTATTCAGAGCAGCAGTCGCATTTCTTCTGGTCGTGCATAGGAGCACTCATAAAATAAACCCGGAGCAGAAGCTCTGAACTCGGGCAGCAGCGCTAAACATATGGGAGCAGTCAGCGCGCAGCCCCTCAAGACGGGTCTGGGGGTCCAGTGTTGGTCAGATTGTCCGGAGGCTTCGTCCTCCGTGTCCTGGTTCCAGACGGGGGCGAGCAAGACCAGCGCGCAAAGGACTGGGTCCGAGTGCTTCAGTGCCGTCATCTGTGCGCTGGTTCCGTGCGGAAAAAGCGAGAATGCGCTGTGGACCACAGGTCCGGGCTGCTCCGGTCCTCCGCGCTCGACCGTGGCTGGTTCTGAGGGGGTGCAAAGCATCCGGACAGAAGTGTGAATCCCGTTTGGTTCGTTATATGTTGTTCTTAGCGGTCCGTCTGCGCACGTGTTTTTTTGTTTTTTTTTCGGGGAAAGCGCTTCTCAGGTGGAGGCACCGGACAGCTCATCTATTTGTTCTGCTGAAACATTTTTCATGTGTTTGCATTTGCACACACAGCTGATGGATCAATCCATGACCAGAGATGAACGAGGGTTTTATCCCTAAAGAAACCAGATTAAAACAACAACAACAAAAATCATTCATTTTCCATTTTCACTCATTTTTGAAAAAGCTCCAGGGAGCCACAAGGGGAGTGCTAAAGAGCCACATGCAGCTCCGGAGCCGCGGGTTGCCGACCCCTGGGTTATTGGTAAGGTTTGGGTTAGGGCTAGGGTTAAGTTTAGGCTATTGTTAGGGCTATGGTTAGGAGTTCACGTAGGTTTAGGGGTTAGTGTTAATTTAGAAGTTAGATCAATGAGTAAGGTGCATTCGTGGGGCACGGCATGTGCAGAGCTCAACATGGCCGGGGTGCAGCGTGGCATGGGTGTGGCATAGGCTCGAGTGAGGGCCGATCATTATCGATCATATATTTATTATTATTATTATTATTATTATTATTGTTGTTATTATTATTATTATTTAAAAGATGCCTAGGCCATGATGTTTAATAATGTGGACATTAACAACCATGCTAAATATCCAGTGTGTCTTATGGAATGTTGAGAGGAGCCTCACATTCTATTGAGGTTCTGGGCCTGTTGATGGTAAAGAAATCATCACAGATCCATTGATTTTGGTTGGATTTTTATATTTTTTTCTGTGGAATGACTATACTGTTTGAAGAAAAGAATGGCATATTGGCTGATGTCAAAACTTGGGGGAATAGTTGATTGCCAATGAGGTAAAGATGAAAATATTGGAAAAAAGTGAAAAAAAATGCCTTATTTTTTGGCATTAAATTGAGCCAAAATCCTGTAGAAATGTGTTTTATGAATATTTTTTTCACTGAATGTTGTCACCACATGTGTTCTTTGCATCTGGAATGTATTTGTAGACAGCTTACCCAATCCACTGAGGATTTGAGGAAATTTTTCATTTTTCATAATTTTCTATCACAAAATGAAGGTTACCTACACTAAAATGTTCAAAATTTTTTTTCGCGATATTTCCGGAAGAGCAGACCCTCCAATTATTGGTCCTCAGGGTCACAGTTAACAAAAAAAACACAAATAAAAAGTATGGCAGGAGATGTCAGGTTCAACCCATTTTCTAGAGCTTTTGAGACTTTAGATCCCTGACTATATGTTTCAGTGTCCAGTGAAAAAAGTATTGCCTGGTGAGAGTCGCTCAATGTCGATGACGAGTCCCCACCCCCCCTCTCCCGCCCCCCCGTCTCCCACCTCCCGTACGGTGTCCTGGTTTTGACAACGCAAATATGGTCACACTAACATATATTCCACTGAGTCAGACGTTGACCGCATCAGCGCACAAGAGCTGTATTTTTTATCTTCGCTTAGTTTATGCAAATTAGCGATGCGGTTTTAAGTTTTGTTTCTGTGAGAGTTGCGCAAAACTGAATTAAACACATTCTAATGTCAAACAGGCTGATGTGGCTCTAGAGTCGTTACGGTTTATATGTCGTAAAGTTGAATTTATTTATGCAGATTATTAGTGCAGATAGTAATAATAATAATGATCATTTTAATATAAAAATGTTAATGATTGACTTAACGATCGATAATCGATCATTAATTCTTCCGACGATCAATTAAGAAAATTTCATCGAATGCTCATTCCTAATATGTACATTAAAGGTGGCATTGATAAAGTAGTACAAATATTTTTCTCCTTCCTTAATGTGTGGCTAATAGACTAGAGATAGATACAGTATACTGTCTAATGAATATCTGTGCTAAAAAGAAGAGGTGGGGACTTGCGAGTCGTGCTTGGACTCGAGTCAGACTTGAGTCACTATTTTTAGGAATTGAGACTTGATAAAATAGACTTGAGACTCGACTTGGACTTGAAGGTCATTGACTTGGGACTTGAGAACACTTGATGCTTCTTTTAATATGTATTTAGGACATACTTTTCTCTTTACAGTTGATAAATGCAGCGCTTAATTTTACAAACTGGAACATGTCCCTCCAACTTCTGTTTGTTACTTTGTATGTAACTGAAGTACTGTGATGTGTTATCCTCAAATGTACTACAGTAATATACAGTACAATACAGTAAAACAGTGGGAACTACAAAGAACAAAGAACTTCCATTTCAGCGCAGACGACAAGACAAAATAACTTATTTAGCACTGAAAATCTGAATTCTTTCTGTAATGATTTCTCATATAGATATCTCTTATATAGATATCTCATATAAATACTCATATATAAATATACCATGACTTTTTAAGAACAGTTTTAGTTTAAAAGCAAAAATCTAAGTTAAGCTATATTTAGTAAGTTTTTACTTAAAAGATTTAAAATGACTTGAAGCTCAAAACAGATGACTTGGACTTGACTTGGACTTATGGGCCGGTGACTCGAGACTCGACTTGGACTTTCCTGTTTTTGACTTGGGACTTGACTTGAGGTCAAAGACTTTAGACTTACTTGAGACTTGCAAAACAATGACTTGGCCCCACCTCTGCTAAAAAGTAAACCTAAATGCTTGAATGATTTTTGAGCTCTCTTGTGCTATGGACTCTTAGCTTAGAAAGAATACAGCTCAAAGTATTCTACCTTCAAATACAAACATCAAGACAAGACAAGGTAGCCAGGCTCTGCGACGGGCTGCTGTACATTACCTGTTGTGAGAGGGCGTAGCCAATGACAGTGTCTCCCTGTGGAATGCTCCAGGTGACCAGGGCAGAGTCGGCCCTCAGCTGGGACACGGACACGTTAACTGGAGCTGCTGGGACGGCTGCAACACAACCAAACAGCATGATCAGTGTATCAGTGATAAAGGCAGAAATATACAAAATCATTTTTAAAAACTTCATCAAATATTGAGGTAACTAAATGGTAAATTGTGACATTAACTGAAAAAATATAGATTACTGTTCGAGATCGCTGAATAAAAGAATAAGGAAGGAAGAAATGGCCAATAGTCAAATTTTTCTACCTTCAAGGCATTCATACACCTGTGTACGCTGGACTGTGTTATTCAAATCCAAGTCAAAACCTGAATCTTTAGTTTAAACTTATTTCAAATGCAGTACATCTGACTTTTTATGCCAAACAAGTTTCATGTTCAAGTGCATGGGAAAATGCTTTAAGCTGAAACACAAGGGGGAGCACAGATTTGTACTCATCATCATAACTTCTTTATACACAGTTCTTGCTCCATAAATTTGCAGCGAAATACTGCAAGATCCAGCAGCAAACATCATGTGTGCTTTTTAAGGATGGTGTGACTCAGTGACTCATGCAACATAAAACACAACAGTTGCCAGTGTCCTCATGGTCAAATTTACTGGAAAATGAAACACAATTAAACTTGAAAATTATACTGATAAGGTTAGAACACGTTTATGAGACAACAGTGATTATGTTCTGATCTCCCCAGAGGTTTGTCTTTATTTAACCTTTATTTGACTAGTCAGGTCCCATTGAGATTTGAAGATCTCCTTTTCAAGAGCAATGTCGTAGGCAAAGCAATGACATCTTGATGAAGACAAGCGGGCGGCAGATGCTTCATCAGGTAAATTAGTAGATATATACCTTTAAAATTTGATATTTGATTCTGAACAACTTCAAAACTAGAATAGTATTTATGTAGACCCTACGTTAGAGCAGGGGAAACATGGACCAGCTTTACTCATCTCACACAGGCCTCCTCTGACCACAGCTGGTGGACATTGTACACATTTTGACCCATTGTTTTGGTTTACAAACAGCAAAATTATAGCTCTAATCTAATTCAACTAAGAGATCTAAACAGACAGAGATAAATGAGTGGGGTGCAATTAGCAGCTAGTTAATCAGTAGTAACAGACTATGTCCAGTCAAGAGGTCAGAATAGCAATGGGTAGTATGGATTTGTTAGGAAAAATGCATCACCTCTGGGGAGAAGTAAAGAGGAGAAGTTGGAGAGGCTGCTCTGTGGCTCGGTGAAGAGACTTTAAAGTAGCTCTACTTGTGTACAAGGCTATGACCTGGCTCCAAACTATCTCCTGCCATGAACCATCACCAGCCCAACAACCAACACCAGAGTCAGGACTGAACATGGGAAACTCTACTCTGACAATATCCAGAAGACAATAATTACCATAAAGACAAAATAAGACAAGATAAGAAAGCTGTTGTTATGTAACCCCAAAGCCAATCAATGTCCATGGTTTCACTGCAGTCCCATGTATTGATGCGCTGACTTCATCTGCTGGCTCAGCACTGACAGGAGGCCCGCACATCCCTCATAAATGTCTGCGGCTCTGGCTGTAATTCACTGGAGCCTCTGGAGGTGTCTGGTCTGAGAGCCTCTGCAATAAGAGCTTTTATGTACGGCTAAAAATACACTGACAGTTCAACATCAGGCCAACTTTTCATTGTCTTGTCAAACCGGTGCAAAGCAGAATGTTTAGAACAAAAACTTGTATTCTTGGCATATTACAGTTTCAACTTTTTCAAGTGGACTAGAAATGCACCAATCCAGCTTTTCCAGTTCTGATACCGGGATACTGACTGAACCAAAATTAGGAAGCCAATACACCATCCAGAAAATAAGTATCAACACAGATACCAGTACCAGTATCAGATCGGTGCATCGCCTACAGTGGACTTGTTCTAAAGCAGTAGTTTTTTTTTTAATCAGTGGTATGTTATGTGGAGTTCTTCTTGTCTTGTTCTTCATTCTCTTTAATGTTGAGACATTTTTGCGTTAGTCCTCAGTCACTACACCTTTGATAAAGGTTGAGTTCTATTTGAAACCTAATTAGCCACTGTTCTGTAACCTCAGTGCCTTTATGTATTAGAATCAGGTTGATAATTGCCATGCTATTTGTCATTTCAGAAGTCACTGTTGCCAGATGTTTTTAGATAAGTGAAAAAAAGATTAAATAAAAACTTGCCCAATTTGAAAGCATCTCAGTAAAAAAAAAAAGCTCTGATAAATGAAAAACCTTGAATATGCGCCAGCTTAAAATTCACATGCAGCAGGCAGAGCTTCAAAGCCAAAGGACTTTCAAAAACACAATTTATTTATTTGATATCTATTTTTGTCATCTAATCAGTGATGTTTTGGTAGCTCTGAAGTGTAATACGGCAATGACATTCAAGTGAATCCATCAGGCGCTCTGAGAGTGACTCGGAGTGGCACATGGGAGTGGAGTGCGGTCCTGACGCCACACACACGCATGCACACATGCACGCACACACACACGCACACATGCACACACACGCACACACGCACGCACGCACACAGATGCTGAGCTATATTGGCCGCTAACAAGCTAACCGCAGCTCATTATGCAAGCCCCCAGACTGCAGAAGACTCACGCCTCCGAATCAGCCAAGAGGAATGAATTTATGCATTTTCTCAGTTTGTGTAAGTGTAACAGTTGAAATGTTAAGGTAAATGAGCAGCGCTTTTACATTACTGACTCCATCACTTTTCAGATTCCAGCTATTTTGGGATTAACTGTAAAGCTTGTCTGAAATGTATCTCCACCTGACCTGGTCAAGTTGCTGGTCAGATCTGTGGAGACGACCCACCTATTGAGCTATAATAACAACTGTAACTGAAATGCAAGACAGCTATTTGTTTAATGCCATACCATGGAATATTCCAAATAAAGCAACAGCATGTGTAGATGAGAACCAGAAGAGTGATATTGTGCAGCTTTAAACATGCATATTCATTTCATGGTTTTGAGGTTTAAGTACTGCACTTAATGGGAATGGAGTTTCCACTGCACAATTAACCACAAAAGTGCCGAAAAATCATGTTATAAACATTTTTTTATTAATTACATTTCACGCTTCTGTTGTTTCAGTTTATTTTTTATTTTATTTTTTTGCATAGGTTTCTTATTATAGATTTCAGACCAGCTGCTCTGTACAAGCACTGGGGAATTGCTTAAAGGAGGTTCAGGAATGGATGCAGTCAAACTTCCTCAGTTTAAATACGCAAAAGACAGAAATAATTGTTTTTGGTCTTTCTGATCTGTTGGTGAACCGTGCCAGTGCCTTAGGTCCTCTTAGTTCAAAAAAGCATTTTCTAGAAATCATGGTGTCAATTTTGATTGCAATTTTAAATTTGAAAAGCAAGTAAGCTCTGTTCTTAAATCAAGTTTCTATCAGTTAAGGGTTTTGAACAAAATCAAATCATTCATTTCACATCTGCACTTTGAAAAGGCCATTCATGCATTTCTGACCTCATGACTCGATTACTGTAACTCTTTGTCTGCTGCATTGACCAGGCCCAGCTCAGCCGCCTGCAGGCTCCTGAATGCAGCAGCTCGCCTTTAACGGGAAAGAATCCCTCTTGTTCTTAAATTCCTGCATTAGCTCCCTCTACATTTTAGAACCCATTTTAAATTGGATTACTATTATTAATAGAATGACACATTCTTATTTATCTGAACTCCTTCAGCCCCATGTCCCATCCAGAGGTCTGCGCTCTGCAGACCAGCACCTCCTGCCGTCCCCACGACCAGGCTGAGGAGCAGAGGAGATGGGACCTTCTCTGTGGTTGGTCCACGACTGTGGAACACTTTGCACATTAGAAGTGCACAGTCACTGGAGCACTTTAAATCCTTATTCAAAACGCACCTTTCTCTTTGGCGTTTGTCCAGAGTTGCTGCATTTTTATTGTTAGAATTCTGCTTGATTTGCTTATTGTATATTTTATTTCAGTGTAAATGTTGTCTAGCACTTTGGTAAGCTTGGGCTGTTTTAAATACAAATACATTTGATTTGATAGATTGTTTTGTTATTTGTTATGTTACTATATTTCGCCCACCTGGAAGAGCAAGTATATTTTATTCCTGCAGAGACTCCAATGAATCTCCTGTTTTGACCTGGCCTATCATAGACCGTGCTGAATGCCACAGGAACCAGCTGGTGACCTTCATTAAAACTGACCGAGGCACTGAAATACTGTAATGTGCCGCTGGTTGTCAGGTATTCGCCTTTTACCAGTCACATCCTGTGCGATTTTCCATTTTGTGTGTCTCCCACAGTTCTAATATTGTCCATCTCTGAGGAACATTACTCACCTGTGAAGTGCGAGTGTGGAGGAGGAGGAGGGCTGAATGAGTCTACTTTTCAGTCTCCTCTTCTGCAACTGTCCTGCTCTATTTTCAACAATGTAGGTGGGCGAAAGCGGACACTAGGAACAAGCTCTCAAATATACGGAATGGATGCACAAAACAACAATGTGCATGTGCATAATAGAGGAAAAACATTTTAAAATGGAAAAATAATGAGGCTTTTAGGAGAAGGCCAGACAGATACTCATATGTCTACTATCTCCAAACGCCAGGGGTGCTAACATTTCATTGGTAAAAAAAAAAAATGCTGATGAACACTTTCTATGTTCATCAATCACAATCATTCCATGCCTTCTATGTTCAATATTAATCAAACTACAGACAGTTTAATCTACTATCAAGATGTGACAGATTGACTGAGTTTTACGAGCTTATTTTAAACGTACTGGAAACCACAAACAGCAGAACACACTGCTAGGCTAACACAGGAATCACACACATTTTAGTGCACTTTTGAAAAGGTTAGAACTACAGAATTAGCAGGTTTTATACACATTAAAACACCAAGGAGACCAGATAAGTGTTTGCAGAGAACATTACAGATCAAGACATTTCACTAATTGCCGTTGTTCAAATAGTTCTTTTGATTCAATCGTGGTTCGTTTCGCGGTGGTTCCTGCCATGTCCCTGTGTCTGGCCTGTAACATCTTCA